CCATGTATACCTGACATTGAAATGTAGACCATGTATACCTGACATTGAAATGTAGACCATGTATACCTGACATTGAAATGTAGACCATGTATACCAGATCACCTTCCCTTAGCACTCTCCATACCTTTCTTTGTCTCCTGTTCTGATGGGGAGAATTTAGACTCCTCTGCATAGGGCTGAGGCTGCCAACATCAGATATTAGGAAAAGACTATCAGTACTTAGCCAGCACCTTTAGTCTCTCTCGGGGATAGAGAAGCATTACAGGAAAGTAGGTAAATGAGATCTCTCATATCTTTAAGATAGTTGGGAAGCTAGTCCCCTTCTGTCCTGGGGAAACAAGTCTCTCATCAAGGAGAAAACGCAAAACTGCTGGTAATTTATTATTTGAGCTCAAAGGGACACAACATTCAGTGCTTCTCACGTTTTATTTGTATATTCTCAACAGTACTTACATGTACTAACATCCTAAGTAGTAAGTGATGGAGCTGGGGTCCAAATGCAGGTCCTTCTGATTCAGGTGCTCCTACTTTTCATCATAGTGATTTAATGGGCACAGTTTTATGTCTCTGACCTCCAGTGATGCTTCTGTTCACAGATGTGTTAGGGTATCTTCCTCACTAATAGGTGCTTCACATTTTCTTTGATAAAGAAACTCTTTATGAAGGAACTGCAGCATCACTGTTTCTTCACATGCCTCTAATCATTCCAGAGGGTACATGTTTGTATATTAGTCCACAGGTGATCAAAGAGCAAACAACCTGTCTAACTCTTTTAAGTGTTTGTAGACGAGCCGAACAAAACCATCAGAGTAATCTTAGCTTTCGTATCAATTTCCTCTGCCAACTTTATTACATCCTGTAGTGTCACTGTAGAAAATACAGGAGCCCTGACCAAGACAGTGTGCTTTCTCCTCTGTCTGTCATTTCTCAGCAAATGATTGGCAATGAGGTACAGGGTAAAAGAACTAACTTGTTGACTGATTAGCGTATGAAAATCTTACTGTATCTGAAGCCACTCTTGAGTGGGGGAAGCTTACTAATGCTATTGCAGACTTAATAAATTATAAAAAAAGTTGGCACTTTTCATCCTGTACAACGGTTAACTCCAACCAGTGAGTGTAACAATGCAGCAGAGGAAAGTGGGCAAGCATAACATTGTAGATGAAGGCAATTAGTGTGTGCAACAACATGCTTGAGGGACGTCAGTGTGACCCATGCTTACGGAAGTCAGTGAGTCTATACTGGTTGAGGGAAGACTGAGTGTGACACCACAGCTGAGCAAAGTCAGTGAGTGTGACACTGTGGTTGACCACTTTCTGTAAATGGAAGATTTTTTTCAAACACATTTGAAATTTTGTAGTCTGAAAATTCATCTTCCCTCAAGTCAGCTACTTGTTTTGCTTAGTTAGTGCATTTGGCCTTTGCTGTTTGTTGAAAGGATGCTTGTGACAGTACAGCTTGGGTTTTGGGACAGAGTCTCACTCTGCAGTCCCAGCTAAACTAGAAGCCATGTGTTTTGCCAGCCTCTGCCTCACAAGCACTGAGTAAAGGTGTACACCTAGCCCAAGTGAAGTAGTCTTAGTTCTCTCTGTTATTATCACCATGTGTTACAAAATTTAATATAACTTTGGTATAGTTTTTCCTTTGTGAAAATATATAGATACAATAAGCAGTAAACTAAAAGACCCCAAATGCTAATTCAGATATTGTTGGAAATAAACTATAAAAATCTTGCACTGATCTTTGGTAGATAATTCTTTTCTTCTTCTAATTTTCAATTATAGGTACTCGACCCCCACTGATCAAAAATTTACCTAAGCCCATTGAGAGTTTGATGACCCGCTGTTGGTCTAAGGACCCTTCTCAGCGCCCTTCAATGGAGGAAATTGTGAAAATAATGACTCACTTGATGCGGGTATAATCCTTCTTTTGAGGGGCTTTGGCTTTGCGGGGACTTCAATATATACCAAGTTTTAATGGGCTTTTAAAGTGAAGGAATGGGAACTACTTCTGCATTATACTTTCCTAGCTTTTAAAGTTAGAATAGGCATTTATTACTTATATTATCAGAAGAGAAAACATTACTTTAGAAAAATATTTAGCTCTCTGTAATGGCAAGATGGTTAGATGAGGTGTCTGGGATCGCTGTCCCGTACTAACGTTTATAGATAAGCATTTTGTTCCTGGGCACCAGAGTGTATGAGAGATGTAGGTATCTACAACTTCTCAGTGCCTACATGTGATTAATGTGGTCAATAACGTGCTGAACTGAACTAAGTTCGTCAGCTTTTCATCAAAATACAGTCATTTCTAGTGTGCTGGGGAGTTATTTTAAGAAACATGTATTTGAGTAATTTTAATGTCTCCTGTTTTGGCTTTTGATTGCATGTTTTTAGATGCCAATAAAAGCTCAACTTCTTTTCTAGGCCTGATGGAATTAATTTAGAAGAACCCTTTTAAAAGATAATCAAATTCCCTACTCTACCTTTCTTAACACTTTAGGATTATTTCAAATATTTTAGGGCTTTTTTTTCCCTTTATTGAAAATAGATTATTTTTTTCAACAAGAGCTATAAGTGGTAGCTTTGACTCAAGTTTGTCCACCTAAACTTTAGGTTGTATAAGTCAAATTGTAACTGTTCACCCATATTTTGTCTAATTTGAAAAAAAACAAAATCTTCCCCTAAATTTTGCTTTCACTGTTAGGTAAATAATTTCAGTATTATGTCCCCAGTTCATAAGGGGGCTTCCATAAGGTATGTTCTTAATGTTTAAAATACTGGTTCTAAAGGTGATTCAGAGGTGCTCACTGCCAGTTGTCAGACTAACAGTCCTTGCGACAGTTTTCAGTATATGTCACTGTTCCAAGTCATCTCAGTGCTTACATAGGAAGATGGCACTGTCCACAGCCAGCTTTCTGAAGGAAGTTGCTCCACATTCGGTACACACCTGAGGGAGGGAGAGCAGAGCTGTGTCTGCCTCTCATGCTCCTTAAATTAGAGCAGTGATGTCGATGTGCCCTTGGGTAACAGGGTTTACCCTGTACTGAAGGCATTTTAAACTGTGGCTTGCTTTACTACAGTACTTTCCAGGAGCGGACGAGCCGTTACAGTATCCTTGTCAGTACTCTGATGAAGGGCAGAGCAACTCAGCCACCAGCACAGGTAAACGGACGACGGCAGCGCAACGTCGGGATCCCCTCTGTCCCTGAAGTCTGTCGTGAGAAAAGGAATGATGCCCATGTTTGCAATTCATTCCTCATTTCTCTGGATTCAGTGCAGTTTGAGTTGCCAGGTGCTTCCTGCATGATGGTCCTGAGGTTAAAGAGCTATTTAAGACCTGCTTCCGTGTCTCGAGTTCCTGCTTAGTTAGGGCTAAAGTTGAATATTATGTTGCTGTGATTCTTAATTTCATCTTTTTGAGATAAAGTTTTACTTTGAATCCAGGATAGCCCAGAACTCACTGTATGATTCAGGCCAACTTCAAAGTCGTGATCCTGCCTCAAAAACCTCATGAATTCTCAGACTAGATACATGCCACCACATCCAGCAGTTTCTCTGTGGATACCACTGAGTCAAACAGGACTGCAGATTACTGGGAACATTAGATTTCTTCACTAACTCGGTTCTGCTTTTTGGTTTTTTTCTAAAGAGACTTATGCAAGAAACTGCTTTAATTAGAAGTTTCCTGAAATATAAAGTAGAAGTGGTAGTTTGAAGTTATCAAAATTAGTAGAACTAGCACTCAACTTAGAGAAATTGCACTTTACAAAATAAATGACATTTTCTTATTTGATTTCATCTAGAGATACACTTGTACATGTCAATATGTATGTACCCTGCACTTTAAAATTTCACCTTTTGCCAATAAATATTTTCATTAGTCTCTTTCCCCCACTTTGAGATGGTTGATTTGGTTTGAAGTTTTTGTTAAGCTAATGATGCTTAAATTCAGTTTTACTGAAAACCTTTGAGTTGCCCTTAAATTCCACAGTGAACTTTTCCAGAACTCCCTTTGTTTTTTTCCTCTTTTTCATCTTCTGATTTTCAGTCCTTGATGGTGCCACCTTTTCACTGACCCTCAATTCCCGGAGGCTCTTTTTTCCTTCATCCTTCACTTCATTCTGGTCAATGATGATCCATCGGGAATCCTACTCGGTGGCATTCCTCTCTCCCATGTGCTTAGCTAAGTTCCAGGCCTAACTGGCTCTCAGCTTCTTCCTGACCCGAATGTGGCTGAGGACAGCACACACTGACTGTCCTCAGGTGAATGCTTAGTGCCACTGTGCGGTCACCCAGCTCCTCTCCTAAAAGCTCAACTGTCTTTCTAGTCCCGGAGGTAGTCTGACCTTGTTTTCTGTTTAAGGATGTTTGAGTCATCAGAAGACGGCTCCTACAAGTTCCCCGAGTCTTCGTAGCTACATGGATCAGTGCCCACCTTCTCTGTTTTCTGTCTTTTACAACTGACTGCCCATGTTTCTAGTCAGAGGCAAGACGCTATGCTTGTACATTATGCCCTATCTACCCTTCCCAGCAGAGATAGCTTTCTCTTCTCTCATTACTTCGCCTTTCCACTGGGAGCATTTCCAAAGCAAATACAGTGTATTCAGATGCACTAGCTCCCCTCTTCCCATTCTCTAGCATCAACTTCACTTGGACTTCTCTTACAACTACTACTGCAGAATTATTCTCCTGGAGGTCACCAGTTATCTCTGTATAACTACAGCAAATGAATGTGATTTTATAGTCACAGTTGATGCTAATGAATGTTGGGTGCATTCATCACTCTCCTTACACTCTATAAAGTTGCTGTGCAGGACCTAATACTAATCTGAATTTCACATTACATTTCTGGTCACTTAGGGGTTGTGTGGTAGTTATTGTTTTGCTATTATTTTGTTTTGCAAAACAAGTGAAAGCCAGGACTTTGGGAATGCTATACAAACTATGTCTCTGAGACTGTCCCCAGCTTGTTCTTGGCTTCCTTTGCTCGTCGTTCCACATTTCCTCAGCTATAAGTGCTAGAGTGCCAAGAGCTCAGCCATTGGCTTATTCACTTAGCTAGTCATCTCCATCTCCTTGGTTACTTCTTCTAATACCAGGACTTTGTCCCGTCTTCCCCCACCCCCACCCCCACCCCTGCGCTCCCTCAGGAGAGCTTGCCTCATGTTTATTTATAAAAACAGCTTAGGGCAATGACCATCTGTAAATAGTGTGTGGGTATATCACATCAGTCCATCTAGCTTCATATTGGCTGATAGAAGCTTTTTCTATGGGACCTTCACCTTTGGGAGACTGAGCTGGAGCTGCAGCTGCAGCCTCAGCCGTGGTTTAAACCTTGGGCTTTGGTTGGTGGCGCCTACAACCCTTAGCCATGTAGCTTCAAGTCTGCTTCCCAAGCTTGGAGTGAGCGATGAAAGCAAGAAGACTAAGTTTATGGTTGGTACCCTTTGGCACCTTGGGCTTAACCACCTTGGGCCTTACAAGGGGCCTTAATGACCTCGGCATGTGCACTCATCTTTGCTTTGTTTGTCTGCATCTTTTTCAGCCTTTCTTGTTGCACTTTTTGGCAAAGTGTATGTTCCTGAGGAGCTTGAAGTCAATCCTTAAGACATTAGTATCTTTTTAGCTGGGTTTCTTGATGCCATCCTGTGCCGTTTGGGGATTTCTTATTTGTGGTGTGGTTCTTGGACTTGGCCATGTCTGCATGGTAAACTGTGGCTCCTGAAGTGCCTGGGACCAGATGAGAAAGAATATTTGTTTCATCTTATATCTGAATTCCACCCTCATAGATCCAGAACATGAGTTCTAGTAGGGACTCAAACAATGCTTTCCAAACTGAGTTCTGAGGAGGTCCTCCAAACTCATTCATCCTCTGGTCTCCCCATCTCAGCTAGTGAACCCTTTGTTCTACTTCAGGCGAACCCTTACATTAGTCTCATCTGTTTTGAAGACTGATGGTTCTTTATTGTGTTGTCTGTAATCTTTATTTACAGTGGGCTTGTTTAAGATGTCTCCATTGGTGTGGAAGTCTTTTTTATGTGTATCTTGTCAGTTATTGAATGAGGCATTGGTATCATTCTCAACCTTAAGTCATAAATGTTTCTGCTTTCCTAGGCTCATTCATGGACATCGCTTCTACAAATACCAGTAATAAAAGTGACACTAATATGGAACAAGTCCCTGCCACAAATGATACTATTAAACGCTTAGAGTCAAAACTGTTGAAAAACCAGGCAAAGCAACAGGTTTGTTATTAAAAATAAAGTTGCATGGTTACCTTTCTAGTAGTCACAGCATTATGCTAAAGGCGTCTATTATTTGTCTTGTATGTAACAATCCTAAGTTTCCTTCCTGCACCAGACAAATGAGCTTATGGTGAGAGACATGAAATTTTGCTGCCATTTGTTACCAAACAAGCTGTTTTCCTTTCTGCTGGTTGTTGCTCTTGCCAGTGCCTGCCCCTTCCTCCATGTGATCCATCCCTAGCTAAGGGTCCTGTGAACAGTGTGAAATACAGTTTGGTTCTGTGGGCCAGTTAAGGAGTTCTCATCAGACTACCATTTTATCCTGTTCAGGTTGATTGTATTGTGGCCATTGTTGGTTTGATTACTTTGAGCGACATGTATCTGAGCTTGCTCTCCTTTGTTAGCTCCCTCTCAGTATAAAATTCCCTCTTTCAGAACAGTACCATAGTCATAAAAATCCATCTGTCATCTTCCTCTTTGGCTGCCCTAGATCTCTACATAAAAAGAACTTCAGTAATTGAGATTGACCTATAATTTTAACAGAGTGAATCCGGACGGCTGAGCTTGGGAGCATCTCGTGGAAGCAGTGTGGAGAGCTTGCCCCCGACTTCTGAGGGCAAGAGGATGAGTGCTGACATGTCTGAGATAGAAGCTAGGATCATTGCGACTGCAGGTAAAGGGCTGCAAGGCCAAAGGGAAACGCCCATGCTTCCCATGGTACGCCGTTGTTTTCAGTGGGGCTACCGGGGTTGTTCCTTCTGTGGACTTTTTAAACAGATAGCAGGTTTATAGTAGGTTTTCTAAACTTCCAACAGTAAATTTGTATATTTGGCTTGAATTTTAAATCAGAGAAATAAGGCTTAACAATCAATTGAATTATAAAATGCATCTTCCTAGTTACAGAGTTTATCAAATATATTTCTCCTCAAACATAAACTAGCTCTAAGAAATTGAAATTCCACCAATACCAGAATATTTGCAGTGACTGAGTAATTTACCACTGTTTTTATACTGAGCCCAGAAACAAAAAATCATGGCAGGAAATTGTGCTCCAGAACTGTGTTGTGGTCCCTATCTCCTGCCAGTGGCAAGAATAGCAGAGCTAGTTGTAGTCTGCTTATCTAGTGTAAAATGAGATAGTAGGAGTTTCATCAAACATTGGTTTTGCTAGTGTTTAAATTTCATTTTGTCACCTCTTAAAATGTTACAATAGGCAAAGTGGCCAGAAAGAAGAAGAATGGTGTTTTGTCACCTGGTCAACCAGCACCTTTTCTAACCAGGTTCCATTTTAGTGGTGTCTATTTAGTTGAGTCTTATTTAGTTATTTCTGATTCTTCAAGGTTAGAGAAGAATGAGTTATAAAAATAAACATTGTATTGGAGAATGTGGAAGTGTTAACAAATAACAACAAAATCTTACAAATTCTCCTCAGAGGATATTTTGGTCTATCTTCATATCATTTAATTATAGATACAGACTTTTTTATTTTTTAAACTTAGTTGTTTTCTAAGTAAAATAATCTGATTGTGTGTGTTCTTTTTGTAGAAAGTGGCATCCAGATGAACTGTACTGTATTTGTCCAAACTAATCACAATCACTGAGTTTATCAACCTGCACTAAAAGCCTCTAGACAGGAAAGAATATCTGAAATTAACGGTGTCTGAACACATAAGCTCTGATCACACATAGACAAGTCTAGACATGCCCCATGGTCATTAGGCAGCTGGTTTTCTGTGTCTCCATGTCATAGTCTGTATTGTTTAACTCCGTTCTCAAGGTTACCTTGTGGTCCAAAATGGCTGTTACAGTTCACGCCATCCATCACTTCCACAATTCTGATGGCATGACAGAAGAGATAGCAGAAGAATGAAAGCTGTTGTTGACGTTTGACAACTTGTACATACATGCCAGTAGCCAGAGTGACACGGTCAGGTGGCCTCTCTGTCTCTCTAGTAGAAGGGATCTGCATCCATATCTGACATTGCTGCATTAGCAGAGTTAGGGTCCATTGCTAAGGAAAAGAAAAGACTAGAGATTATTAGCAGGGAACTAGCTGTCTCTGCCCCGGTAAATTGTCAGAAAGTGTCAAGCTAAGAAGAGGTCAGTGACCATCTACTGGCCCCCATGAAGCACAGTTGTCTCTGTGGACAGAGACATACCCCCAACACTTTGGGAAAACCTTTCCACTTCACAGGTGTCGTTCAAAATAGACACACAATATTGATTCTGCCCTAAAAGAGGAAGTAATGTTAGGATAATAGTTTATGTTTTTGCTAAGTCTATTTTTCTAGTCAGTTACAGGTTTGTAATTACATATTAAAGGAATGAATTTTTTCCAGTTCAAGGATAATCATATACAAATAAATTACTTTGTCCTCTCTACCTAAATATAGGACAATACATTCTTTGAATTTTATAATGAATTGTCTTACTTTGAAAGGTTCATATTCCAGCTTTTGACAGCCTTCATATTTAACAACTATATACCTTAAACTTGAAAGCTATTAATGTTCAGTTTATTAGAAATAATGTAGAAGTACTTAGGGAAACATACATTTTATGCTTTGATTTGATAACTATTGTTTAATCACAGAATTTTAATTTATAGCACATTCCGAGAAACACCTAATTTAAAGAGCTATCTCTTCCCATTTGTGTCATTAGCACAAATCTGGCAGCTGACCTACTAACTCCACTCTCCTTCTTCCCATCCATCGTTCTACCTTCACCTCATGCCATTGATTTTACTTAGGTAGACTGTTTCTAAGAACACATTGGAAATTTAGCTTCTCCATTGTCCTGCAGCTTTGTCTGTCTGTATTTGTTGTTGGGTGTTGTTGTTTTTTTTTTTTCCTGCTAATTAAAACCAGTGTGTAAAACTTCCTAGACTGTTTTTTGCTCTTTAACGGCACCTTCCTAAGCATGGATGAAAAGTTAGATAGTTCTGCATGCCATTTTGCATGAGTTGTAATTAACATGACTATTTCAGAACTGTTCTGTTTTGCAGTCATTTCCTGTGTTACTGTTTGTGGTTGTTTGCATGTATACTGTACATGTGTGTTTTTTCAGCCTATTCCAAGCCTAAACGGGGCCACCGTAAAACCGCTTCATTTGGCAACATTCTGGATGTCCCTGAGATCGTCATATCAGGTATCATAGACCACCTGTGTTGGTGTAACAGCTGTGGAACTGGATTAATGATCCTGGTACTTTTAAATGCTTCTTGCTCCAATTTTCATATGATCTGAAAATAGATACCTCACACACAGTACCCAGGGAGACCAGTAGAAAACTATATACTGCCACACTGAAACCAACTTGCAAATGTAATTTCACATCTCCAGCAGCAAGAGTCAAGTAAAAAGGAAATAACATTCTTCACCTAAGGGAGAACACCACCTCCATGTTTACCTAGTCTTCTGTAGGACGTGAGAGCCGAAGTTATAGCAGAAAGAGGCTACAGCTGCTTGAAACCTTTGCTGTCCTTGGCTCCCTCCCCCCTGTCCAGCTGTGCTTTGGGGAGCCAGTGGGCACGCAGCTGGAAGAAGAAAGCTGCCGCACAGCATCATCCTAACCTGAAGAGCAGAGAGTTGAAACCAGGCAAGGCTTGCCATTTATAGAGTACCTTGCCAGAAACAAAATCGCTAGGACAACTGTTGGTTCTGCTGCTAGTATGTTAAGAGGAAGGTACACAGACTATGTTTTATATCCTGTTCATACATGATGCTTCAGTGTGTCAATTGGTAAATGCTTTTCTATCTGATAGTGGACCTTTCATAGATGAATAAAAGCCACCATTTATTTGTCATTTAGAGAATACTTTATTAGTTTTTTTAATCAAACCCACATAGATAAGACCTTACATATTTAATACAGTGCATTACCCCTGTACAAATGGAAAAAAAAATTTAAGTTCAACATTTCTAGACCAATATGGCTGTTAATTTCTATACAATGCCAACTCAACACGGTAAACTAGGATACTTTTTTCCAAAGTTGACAGCACAGCTAGTTTCCAAAAATTCAAATGTTATATATGTGTGTATATATATAGTTACATTTATATTTAAAAAAATGACCAATAATTGCAGTATGTTATGCATCAATAGCAGCAACAGCTTTGCCAGGTTCTGCCGTCACTTGAACAAAATTGTAGAGACATCCAGCACACTTCATTAAAAAAAAAAGAAAGTAAGTAAAAAAACAAACCCCCAGAAAACAGCACAGTCCTGTTACTCTTGTGGTACCTGGCACCATTTTTTTTTTAATTAGTTTCTCAATCATCATCTGGAAAGAAAACATTTTGAGCAACATCATTAAAAAACAGCTCTGATAAAGCCCAGTCACTACTCTGTATCATAAAGCAGGTACAAGCTATTTTACATTCACAGAGGTATGATACAGTGCTGTCCTACACCTATAATACTAGAGGATATGATTGAAAAGGCATTATTTGAGACTTGATTCTACTTTTCCAGCAGAGGGCCCAGTGGATGGTATGACATGGTAAAGAAACACACTCTTAGATAGGATTTCCTTTCACCTAGTGGCACAGTTCTAAGGATTCATTCTCTCATGAACATCAGCTAAAAACCGTTATTAAAAAAAAATGAAAGAATACCCCTAAAACAAAACCTTATAACCACTGGATTCATATGAAGATGACCTAGTGGAGACAAGCAAGACCTCACCTTACCAACACTATCAAATCTGTCATGCTTAAATGATGAGACCTCCAAGGAAGGGAGGAGATGCCAAGTAGTGCTTCAAAGCTTCAGACCACAATCAAAACACAGCATCATTTTAAACAGAAACAGAAGCCCAATGTTAAAAGCCACCATTTTTAAGACCAACTTAAATGGCATTTCTTTTTTTTTCCCAAAGATTTATTTATTTATTATGTGTACAGTGTTCTGCCTGCACATATCCCTGCAAGACAGAAGATGGCACCAGATCTCATTACAGATGGTTGTGAGCTGGGAACTCAAAACCATCTGTGAGATGGATGGGTTGCTGGGAACTGAACTCAGGACTTTTGGAAGAGCAAGCAGTGCTCTTAACCTCTGAGCCACCTCTCCGACATAATTTCTTAAAATGATCATTTGGGCCATTGAGGTGACTTAGCAGGTCAAGGCGCTTCCGGTTCAGCCTAATGACCTAAGATCAATTCCTAGGACCTATATGGTGGAAGAAGAACAGACTTCCAAAGGTTGTTGTCTGTTCTCCACACATGAAGGTGTACACACACGGCACAAGATAAGTAAAATAAAGGTAGATTTTTATAAAAATTGTCATTTCTCCCTGTGTTCAATAAACTAAAGATTTTCCTTCATCTCATGACTTTTCATAGAGATGATATTTTTCACATGTGTGATTTGGATGGATTCTTTGGCATTCTGTACTTTTGCCCATGATAGTACTTATTTAGTGTGCTTCAACTGTAGTTGAACACCTAATTTTTTCTGTCTGAACTCAACTCTAAGGGATAAGGACTATGTATTTATTAATTGTTATTGATTCTGTCAGTAGTAACTGTCTCCATAGTACTTAGTACTTTCCACACTGAACATACTGTTTAATAAATAGGTTATTAGATGAGTAAATCATTGAATATCTCTCATAGCTAGAAACTCGGGTCCCAAAAATACAAATTATAGTTTTATGGGCTATTTTGTCTATATAAAACTAATTTTCTTTAATATTCAAAGTGATATCCTATTTTTTAACATTGTCACCACTTCAGATATTGTTAACTCATCTCTCATGTAGAAATTTTTATTGATTGATGGCTTCTTTAGAAATTAACAAAGTATTTGTGATTATTTTATTTCCATACTGATAGGTATAATATACTGCCCCCAAAATGGCAACATTTAAATTTACATAGAGTTGTATTATCCTTGAACATATTACAAAATCAGAAAATTTAGACAAGTAACAATTTAACCTGAAGTTAGGTCTCTAAGTCTAAAGGGCAGACAAAACAATGGGAAAGAAAGAAGAAACATAATAATCATCTAGATAGGCAAGAGCTAGTGTTGTGCAATGGCCAGAGGTTAGCTGCACCTAACGTATGTAAGGCCTAGACAGCCTGCTGGGAAGATCTAGTCTGAAAGGTTAGCAGTGCTGAAGCCGGGAAGTCCTGGGGAGATGCTGCTTTTTTTGTTGTTGTTGTTGTTTCATACACTGTGAGAGTGTACAAGTTCCATACCTTGTCTCATTCCTGGGGCTGATTTGTTGGCAAATTTTGGTATAGTAACCCTCCCTTCTATTTTCCACTGTCCTCTGCCCTGCAGAGGGAGCTGTAGCCAAGTCTTGTTCTTATACCAAGTAGGACACCACTAAGAGCTGCTCATCAATGGAGTGCTGGTGACATTTTACTGCTTATACATTTCTTTTGAGGTGCTGCCGCCTCTCCCTAGGCAGTGTCAGTACAGATGAGAAGGTTCTCACCCATACTTAGGACATTCATACTATAACTGCTTAATACATTTGCTTGTTACATTGTGCACTGATAAGTTGAAATGGGCTATTAGAAGTAGCAGTGGGCTTTTCTTAAGTGCCTTCCCTTGACACTTGAGTTTTGAAAGCATGATCCTTTCTCCTTTTCAGCCGGTGACTTGGTTTTTGGTTTTTGGGGGTTTTGTTTTGTTTTTCAAGACAGAGTTTCGCTGTGTAGCTCTGGTTGTCCTGGAACTTGCTCTGTAGACCAGGCTGGCCTGGAACTCAGAGATGTGCCTGCTTCTGTCTTTGGAGTGCTGGGAAAAGTGTGTGTCACCACTGTCTAGCTTCCAGTGACTTGCAATAGATTCTTTTGTTTGAAGAAACAGAAATGGGTGAGGTATTATTGGATTGTTTTAAGTTTTCTGGATGTTTTTCCTTCCACTACTTTAATAAAGAAGGTAAGATAGATCTCAAACTTGACTTTACCCCCAAGTTTTAACTTTTTTTCTTCGAGGTCTAACAGTTTATTTGTTACCCTTAAAGACTTACTTTTGACTGGACTCAGAAGCTCTCAGTGAGGACAGCCTATGTCTCTTGGCAGTCTGTTCCTGATGTTTCCTTTGGCTTCCTTCATTCTCTGGGCCAAAAGTTTAGCACATTCTGCAGCCTCCTCTTTGTTTTTCTTAGTGCACTGTTTCTTCAGAGCAGTGCATTAGCCTTTGTGTGTTGCAGCACAAATAGAGTAACAGGATGAGTCTAGGGTGCTTTGGTCCTAGGATTCTTGCCTTCTTTGTTTAAGGCTGTATGGCAGCATTTTGACAGACGTCATCCTCTTTAGAGAAATTGAAAATCTTTTAGATTCTGCTAGTTCTTTTGGTCCCCATCCACCAAGCACATTAGTTCTACAGACCAGGAATATGCTTCTCTCCCCTTTTTACATTAACCAAGTTGAGAACACAGAGATTGGCATCCACAAGGCATATCCATGAACATCTACATGAACAGATCTGTGCTTCCTCTTTCCAGTCCTCCTTGGTCTATAACAAGAATGTGCTTTACTCAACAGCAGGCACACTCTGACATGGGTCAAGACACTGCTTCATCAGGGGAGAACTTTGTCATTCCCACCACTAATGCAGACCGCATGACCCTTCTGCTCTTCGCCCAGAGCATCAGCAGCTACTTCTGTGGCCGTGCACATCTTGTAGAAAATATGAAACTTATGTTCATCATCCACTTCAATGAGTTTCTGATGGCCAGTGCCTAGAAAGGAGATCTTTGCTTCATCTTGACATGGTTGCTGCCCCAAGTTTTGATCTGGTTCTTCTCTCTCCTTTCCCCTTCTCAGATGCCCAGATGGGATTATGTTTGCAAAACTATCCTGGCAGTGGGAGGTCATCTGTTTCAGCTGGTGTTAAAATATCTAACTTGTGCATTTCATCAAAAACATCATTTGTTGAATATGAATAGGTAAAATACCTAAAAATTACATAAAAGGAGCAACAGCCTTCCCTGGTTTAAAATGGGGAATGAGAGTCTGAGTAGTTTAGAAAGCAAATTTTGTTCAGACTTGTTTTTAAATAAGTTTTTTCTTGAGATTATAATGCCACCACATCATTTCTCTCCTTTTCTTTTCCTCCCTTCAAATTCTCCCATATATCCCCTCCTTGCCAGTTCAAATTCACAGCCTCTTCCTTTCAAATATT